GACATCAAAAACAATTGCCCAAAAACTTCAAGAAGAGTTGTTATAATGTGAAGAGTGCGCCAAACTTCCTCTACAACGATGTAAGAATCTAACAAAGTCACACAGAAAACAAGTTGAAGTTATTGTTGCTACAAGCTACCAAATCATGGGGTGTACAATACTGTAGCATCAGCATATACTATTATTCTCGACTGACAACTTTATCGCTTGGTTCAATCCAGCTTCTCCCACCGACATAACAAACTCACCCTTCCAGCACTAAAGTCAGCAACAAGAACATAGTGAAGTATATAGTTGTTAAAGTGGCTAGTGAAGACTTTTCTTCTCAGAAGTTGGGAGACATTAAAAGTCAAAGTAATTACCACAATTATCTGTACTATACTAGGAAGCACATCTGAAAATCGCTCCTATTGTATTAAAAAAAAGTAACGTGACTTTAGTATATAATTAAATAAAAGCATAAGTTAATCTTCTTTAATAATGCAGATTGTTATCATTGATGCCCCTGCGTGGCATAATTAGTAAAAAAAAAAAAAAAAACAGCATAAGCTGAGGTGCTCAGCAAACTTCTTTTGTATACTCATAAGCAAACACATGCAAAGCACCATGCTTTCTCTCTTAACATAAAAATAATACAGTTATTAAATGTGTGCCGGGTATAATCTGCAAAAGGCTCTATTATTAACCAGTGACACTGAAGAGGAGTGTACAGTTTCCAGACTTACTAGGAGCTACTCTCCAATCATACGGTGCTCCGCGGACGGTCTCGTTTCGGATGTAGCCCACGTTGACCAGATGTTCCACCATGGTGTAAAAGTAACCTTCAGAGAACAGCAGCAGACTCGGTCAGTTTAAGAGTCCAAATCTAGTATGGAAATAAAGCACTGGGCTACACAGCATGTTGAGTATGTTCCTTTATATTTTTGCCTTCATGACCATTAAACATTTCTCTGTTACTCATTGTAGAAATACATTAAAAGATGTCAGAAACTTGTCCCCCAAATTTACCAGTTTACCAACACAGATGTATTTTTCTCACCAGCCAGTCTGTTATAGTCAAGATATTCAATGGAATAGGTCTGCCCAAATCCAGGCACTCGCACCTGCACCCCGGGTGAGTTGGAAGACTGCCGAGTTGTCGTGTTGTAAGCGAGTCTGGAGGATGCACAAACGTGGAAACACATGGCTAAGTTTTCAAATTCTGCAAAACATGTATTTAGTGTTGAAAAACCTGACTAAAGATAAACAAAACTGACAAGCGTAAGCATAACATAAGAGTCTGTTCCTCAGCTGTCACCTACAGTAAGGCAAAGTCATAGATCAAAGGTGTTGTTAAGCTGCTTGAACGTGGATGTGAGAGCAGACAGCAGGTCTCACCTGATGTTATCGATCCAGCAGTCCACACCTATGGGTATGAACATGTTGAGGTCGATCCACAGTGGGAACCATTTCTCAGTTTTCTTGTAGCACAGCCAGTGGACCAGCGACGGCTTGTTTATTTTGGCTTCCAGACGGTTCCCCAGGTTCCCCGGTACTGAGCACGAGGGCACATGCAAACACAACAGTGTGTCAAATGTTAATTGTACTGCAGGAAAAAGTGGGACCAATACACAGCACTGCAAACTGCTGCCGAAATTCAGCAAACTTCCAATTCAATTCAATTTTATTTATATAGCGCCAAATCACAACAACAGTCGCCTCAAGGCGCTTTATATTGTACAGTAGATCCTACAATAATAGATACAGAGAAAAACCCAA